CCAACTTCACAAAGGTACATCACCCAAAGGAACTTAGCACAATCTAAGGTTCAAATCAGGAACTGTGTAAAGCTAGTAGTTTTCCTGACAACCAAGAGATGTCAAGTCCTGCTATCTGTTCCTTGAACATTTAAACAACCACACAGCACCTCTGTAAGTTGGTGGCAATACCTTGAGGTATCTTAGTGCAGTGTAGGAAACATGGCCCTGTGGCTAGGTATAATTTTGTGGCTTTGGACTCAGATCTAGGTTAGAAATCAGATTTTAGGGGTGCTGGGTGGCTCAGTTGGTTAAGCATCTGACTCTTGATTTCAGCTCAGGTCTTGATCTCAGGGTCTCAGGATGAGGCCCAAGTTAAGCTCCATGCTCAGCAGGGATTCTCTCCCTCTGCCCCTACCCTCCCCCCCCCACACACACACCCAAGCAAGCACTCTTGAGCTCTCTCCCTTCCTCTAAAATAAATAAATCTTTTAAAAAATCAGATTTTACCAATAACTATATATCACCTTGGGCACTGGGCAACTAAAGCAATCTCTTAAACCTTAGTTTCTATGCCTGCCAAAAAGAATTAATAGTACCAACCTCAAAGAACAAAGAATGAAATGATGTTTGTACATAGTAAATGCTCAATATATCATTCAAACTTAAATTTAATAATTTCCTCTCTAGGGGATGAAAGAAGAATTCTAAGCTAAAGCCACAATGCCAAATAAAAACTTATCAACAGATTTTTAGGGAAATGATCATAAAGTGCTCAAACAAGGAATATAGAGAGAACTACAGTTTCCTCCAAAGGATGCCATAATATTGCCATACCTATGACAAAAAGTGAGTAGGTAAAAGGTTTTAAACAGTTTAACTCACAAGAATATACTTTCAAAAGCACCTCTGGGACACCTGGGTGGCTCAGTGGTTAAGTGTCTGCCTTTGGCTCAGGTTGTGATCCCCGAGAATCTTGGGACAGAGTCTCTTGGGACAGAGTCCCGCATCAGGCTCCCCATAGGGAGCCTGCTTCTCTGTGTCTCTCATGAATAAATAAATAAAATTTTTTTTAAAAAAAGCACCTTTTAACGGATAATCACACTAGGAAAAACCAAAAGTTTTACAAATTAGGATTTTTTAAGCAGCACTAAGAACTGCCTTTTAAAAATGCTCATTTATATAGAGCAAAACTCAATTGATTATAACAAAAGATTTTTCCCAAAGAGCATAATAGCTAAATATAATACCTCTGCTCATACCCCTATTCTCACATGTTAAAAATTTAACATCTTTAATAAAATTTGTAATACAAGAATACTGCAAGAGCTTGGTTTATGAAAGGATTTTTGAAATATTTCATTTGATCCTCAGATATTATCTCTATTTACTCAAGAGACAAGGTCTATAGAAATTAAATAATTTGCTCTACAACTTATATAATACTGTTCTGTGCTAAAACTCATGTCTCATGTCTCTTAACTCTTTCTTTTCTTTTTTTTTTTAAATCTTAACTCTTTCTAGTACACAACTCCTTTCCAAAAAGATTCAGTTCAAATTTTGTTAGTTGGACTAGAATTGCTTCATCCAACTGTTATAAGTAAGTTAACCATCATCAAAGGCCTGAAAATCTTTTCCCAGCACAGTAATGGCATTTCACCTGCACAGACTTTTCATTTGACAAGTATGTTGAACTGTGTAACATTACTTAATAATTATTCTTAGATCACATTATGTGAAGATCCATTATTATAGATGCAAATGCCAATTATAGATGCTTTACCAATGGTAATGCACTGGCTGAGCCCACTGGTATAATCTCTGTGCCCAGAATATTTCTCAGTTTTCACTTAGCTGGTGATCATTGCTCAACTCTAGATAGAGAGGTAACATGAACTATTAAACTGACCTTGATATTTTTTCTATAACAAGCCAAATGCAACAGCCGAAATACTTAAAAGGAATGGAAGACAAGAAAACTTGTATACCACCCAGAATACAATGCCATCACAGGTCTATACCTGCCTTTCAACTTGGTCCCAGCAAATTCCAATTTGCCAGCAATCCTTTTCCCCAAATTTCTCTCAGATTCGTATATTAGTATCACTTCCAAAACTATCCTAAACACAGCTCACTAAGGCATTCTACTTCATAGTGACTACTACTATAAAACTTGAATGTAAATGCAATTTGGTAATAAAATAACTATACTGGGAAGCTTAACTTTTAAAGAAATGCTGCAGGAAGTCTTTATTTAATGTAATTTACCACTCCTATTTTACATGACATTAAAAAACTACTCTTTTAGGGACGCCTGGGTGGCTTAGTGGTTGGGTGCCTCCCTTCCACCCAGGGCGTGATCCTGGAGTCCCGGGATTAAAACTGCTTCCAGCTCCCTGCATAGAGCCTGCTTCTCTCTATGCCTGTGTCTCTCCCTCTATCTCTCTACGTCTCTCATGAATAAATACATAAAATCTTTTAAAAAGAAAAAAACTACTCTTTTAGAGGGGCCTCGGTGGCTCAGTTGGTTAAATGTCTGCCTTAGGCTCAGGTCATGATCCCCGGGGGGAATGAGATAGGGATAGAGCCCCATCCTCCTCAACAGGGAGCCTGCTTTCCCTTTCTCTTTCTCTCTCTCTCCCTCGGCCCCTCCGTCTGCTTGTGTGCATACTCTTTCTCTCAAATTAATAATAAAAACTACCCTTTCATATGCCAGTTTGTTAAGGGCAGAAAGAGATTTGGGCTATAGATAAGAAAAAATATAGGCCTGTACAGTAAGTGCTGTATTAATCTGAGTCTTTGGTAGCCACAACATCATCTTCACTATAGCTAATATTTTGAAAACTTCACACCTGGAGCCCTTCTAGCAATGTAAATACATTCTGTTAAACTTCTTCACTTCCACGGAGAATTGAAAAAGCAACCTTGTTTTCTTAGAAAGGAAACAGCTATCTGTCTTATACAAAAACTATGTTAGCAACCTAATACGAACCAAAAAAAAAAAAATCTATTTAGGAAACGTCTCTTCCCCAGCTAAGGGCTGTTCCCAGATAAAGGCAATGCTCAGACACAGGGGGTAAAAACACACACACACAAACCCCAGAAAAACAAAAGGCCTTCTCTAAGAGAAGAAATATGCCAGGAAAGGAGAGGCATGGATGAGGAATAAATAAGGGGTGAAATGTACGCGATCAGTGTAAGGGGAGGCAGCAGGCACAGCGCTGAGATGCTCCGGCGAAAGAACCAGCAGCAGCAGCAGGAGCAGCAGCAGCAGCAGCAGCAGCAGCAGGAGCAGCAGCAGCAGCAGGAAGTTTCAATGGGGCCGGGCAGAGCATGCGCCCTGCACCCGCGCGGTGGCCTTATGTGGAAGGAGCACCACTTGCGAACACCAATAATAGACCAGCAGCACCAGAGAGAGAAACATGAGCAACAAGCACCTTCTTCAACTGTTTCCCCCTCCGTCTGAGCCCCTCCTCCAGCCTACATACTAACCACCCCACCCCACCCTGCAAATGGGAGGACGACTTCTTCCCCTAAGCCTCGCTGCCACGATGAAGGGGGAAGGGATTAGAAAAGTGGGGAGATGCTTTTCTATTATTTGGGGGGAGGTGGGGAGAAGGAGGAGGAAAACTATGGGGGAGGAAAAATTAACCCTGTAGCCTCCAAAGTGGAGAAGCTGAACCGACTTCGACCCCCAAAGCAAGAATGGAGGAGGACCCCCCCCCCACCCGCTCCCATGAGGGAGGAGCAAACCTCCCTACTCCGAGGAAGGAGTTTTGGGGGTTAAACCGGCCCTCGAGGGGAAGGGAAGAGAGACGCGAGCGACTCTCTCGGGGGAGTTCCCACTAGAGGGAGGGAGGGCTGAAGTGTCCGCTGGCCCCCGCCCACCCAGGTGGAGGGAGAGAAAGGGGCGCCCCGAGAAGACGAGCCCAGCCTCCCCCGAGACGGTGGGGAGGATGGTGGGAGGAGGGGAAGAAGCAAGGGAGGGGAGGAGGAGAAAAGCGCAAAGCTGGCCGGAACCTGCGCTCCCCTTCCCCCGCCACCCAGGGGGAGAAGGGGCGGAGGACCGGCCCCTGCGGCCGGGAAGCAGTCCCAGGGGCGGCCGGCCAGCACAATGACCGCTCCACGCCCCCAGCCCACACCTAAGCCGCGACGCCCCCACCTCGGCTCGGCGCCGGGCCCAGTGGCCCTAGGGGGTCTCTGCCCCGCCTCCCCGCTGCCCAAGACCCTGGGGGCTGGGCGGAGAAGCCGGGCCGGCCGGAGCTGCGCCCCGGGGGAAGGACAGAGCCGCGGAGGCCCGGGATGTCCGTGAAGAGCAGGGGGAAGGAGCGTGCCAGGGCCGCTTCCCGCCGGGCGTTCGGGCCCCTCGCTTACCTTCTCCACTGCCGACGTCCGGCGGCGGCGCCTGCAGCACCCGCTCCAGCTCGGGAAACGGCAACTCGGGCAGGTCGAGCAGCGGCCCGTAGCGCTCCAAGAAGGAGCAGACTACGGCGAAGTTGGGGCACGAACCCGGGCAGCCCGGAGGAGCCATCGCGGCCGCCGCTGCTGCCGCCGCCGCCATTTTGAACTGGAGGATGGAGGAGGAGGCGATGGGGGCGGTGGAGGGAGTTGGGTTCCGAGGAATGGCAGAGCAGCCTTGCGGACAACAGGAGGCGCTAGTGAGTGAGCTCCCCCGTGGATCCGAGCGTCTCCGGCACGGCGCCGCGATCCCACAATACAACGGCTGCTCGGAGCAGTCGAGAACCGAGTCAGACTGGGGAAAGAGAGGCCCTCTGTGCCTTTCACTTTCCGCCCTCTTTCCGCCCCCCTTTCCCTCCCTCCACTTCGCCCCTCCCACCTTGGGTTTGCCACTGCCTCGTGTGACAGGGGGAATGAAAACAAGGGAAGCGGGGCCGGGAGGAGGACTGGAAGCTGAGGAGGCGGGACTTCTTAGGAACAGTGGCCAATAGGCTTGGAGGGGGCGGGGCTTCGGGCGACGACTAGCTGAAAGGCGCTTTCGGGGCGGGGCGAGTGGGGGGAGCGCTCCGCGGAGAGGGCCGGAACCGCCAGAGGTGAGAGGTAAAGCGCGGAGCCGTTTGGGATCGCAACTCGGCTGAAGAGAGGACTTTGGGTGAGTTTTGGGGGGGCTGAGGGGGGGAACCTCCGGGATCTGAAACCGGGCCACAAGCTCGTGGGGGAAGTTGAGGAGCGTGAATAAGAAGCAGAACAAGGAGAGAAAAGAAAAAAAAAAAAAAGAACAAACCCTACCACGATTCTGAGAGACGTTTGGAAACGGGAAAGGTAGAGAGGTGCCTTTAATCGGGGGTTGGGAGAGGACCTTCGTGAGGAGAAGTGCCTGCGGAGCATTTGCTGAGGGCTACTGCTGTCTCCTGGGGTACAAGAATCACAATTGTGCTGGAAAAGAGGGTCTGAGGGCTCGCGGGACCGGAGGCCGAGGAGACGGCTCTGCGAGTATCACCTGTCTGAGGAGTTGGGGCCCTGGTAGGAGGTCACGGTCTGAAGGGGCCAGCTCCTTAGGCAGACCTAGTTATGAGGGGGCAGGGCCCTGCTGTGGTTGCCAGGGGGTGAGGGGAAGAGACTCAGGGGAACGAGGATCTGAGGGGACGAGACTTTATAGGGGACCAGGGTCGGAGGGTGGGCTAGGACTCCACTAAGAGGATACGCGACTTGGTGCAAGAGCAAAGAAATTGGAACACAGGGTCGGCTTCGTTGGGGGCAGCAGTGAGCGTTCTCCCACCAAGAGTCTCAGAAAACCATCAATCATGCAAAGTAGAATGTGCAACTTGGGATGCAAGGTGCATTATGGTTAGGAGCCTGAGCGTTAGAAGTCGGCCAGACTTGGGTCCTAACAACTGCTTCAGGTCATTGCAGAAGATTCTTCACTTCTTTGAACCTCTGGGAAGCGTGAGTGATAACGGTACTTATAGGGTTGTAACTAGCTATTCACAATAAATTGATCAGCACAATGCCCAGCCACATTCATTGTAACTATTTTTAAAATGTTAGTTACTACTGCTGCACAAAGGAATTTCTAAAATTTAGATTGAATTCAGCTATAATTTATACAGTTTACTACCTTGAGCCAGAATTTTCAACGTGCATTTAAAACTTACATACTACCAGGGAGCCTGGGTGGGTCAGTTAGGCATCTGCCTTCAGCTCAGGTCATGATGGGGGCCGGGGGGGGGGGGGCTGGAATGGAGCCTCCTCGCCCTCACCCTGCTCAGCCGGAGGCGGGGGGGCGCCGCGGAGTTCCCTGCTCCACGGGGAGTCTACTTATCCCTCTCCTTCTGCCTTTTCCCTTCCCTCTACGTGTATTCTCGCTCTCCCTGTCAAGTAAATCTTTTTTTTTTAAATGTTAACACTTACATAGCACCTATTTAAGAATTTGAAACAAGGTGTACTGTCAACCAGGTAAAATCGGAAAATTTATTATTAAAGGAAGATAAAGAAATGCAGAGTATAGGCAAATAATTGGGAACAGAGAAAATGCTTACAAATACTGAATTTTGTTCTATATTTGTAGGAAAAAACATAATCTATATCATTCTCATTATCGAAAGAAAAAATATTTTTATCAAGAGAGAAAAAAATCTAGGGATGTTTGGGTGGCTCGGTCCATTAAGCCTCCAACTCTTGATTTCAGGATTGTTGAAACTGAGCCTCACTTCAGGCTCTGTGCTGAGCCTGGAGTAGGCTTAAGATTCTCTGGCTCCTTCTCCTTCTGCCCCTCCCCCCTCATGCTTGTTCTTGCTCGCTCTCTGTCTCTCTCTCTCTCTCACACACACACACACACACAAATAAAAATTTTTTAAGAAGAGAAAAACATATTCTAAGTGGAATTTATAATCTAGAATATTGACTCCTTATCCTGAGTAACACACAAACTCTTTTTTTCTGTTTTTTAAAATTTTATTTAAATTCAATTAATTAACATATATTATTGGTTTCAAAGGTAGAGGTCAGTGATTCATCAATCTTACATAATACTCAGTGCTCATTACATCAGGTGCCCTTCTTAATGTCCATCACTCAATTATCCCATCCTCCCATCCCATCCCTCTTCCCTCCAGCGACCCTCAATTTGTTTCCTATGATTAGGAGTCTCTTATGGTTTGTCTCCCTCTCTGATTTCGTCTTGTTTTATTTTTTCCTGTCTTCCTTATGATCCTCTGTTTTGTTTCTTAAATTCCACATGTGAGTGACATAAACAACTACTGGGCACAGACTCTTTTTAAAGGGAAAAAAATTTTTTTTTGATTTCTCAAATACTCTGGAAAATTCCATTTTGAGAAATACTGCCATGAGGAGACACCTGGGTGGCTCAGCAGTTTAAGCGTCTGCCTTCGGCTCAGGGTGTGATACTGGGGTTTGGGATGAGTCCCGCATTGGGCTCCTTGTGGGGAGTCTGCTTCTCCCTCTTTTTTTTTTTTTTGCTTCTCCCTCTGTCTCTGTCTTTGTCTTTCTCTCTGTGTCTCTCATGAATAAATAAATGAAATCTAAAAAAAAAAAGATATAGTACCATGAGAAAGTAAAGTCAACATAACAATGTGAATGCACTTCATGACACTGAACTATACACTGAAAAATGGTTAAAAGGGTAAACTTTATGTTTATTTTACCACAATAAAAATGTAAAAAAAAAAAAACAAAACAAAAAAGAAACTAAAATCTTACTTTAGGAAAATATCTATGGTTGTGAGTTATCATAGCAAAAGAAGTTTTCATTTAATGTGTAGTAAAATGCTATTTTTAAGCAACACTGCTTAAATACATGTCTAAGTTAAAACATTGGTGGAATTCTCAGAGTGCCAAGTATATATCCTTAGATCTGGGGACCTGAAGACCCCAGCTTAAGAAAAATCTAACCAAGAATACATCCTTAACAACAGTTTTACAGAAAGATACAAAAAAAAAAAAACCCATCTTGATAAGATTGCTATATAATTCAATCCTTTTAAATAAAAGGCAGATACACAATATTAAACAAAATTACATCTTTGTGAAGCAGAGAAAGAAACTTGTGAATGAACTTTGATAGAACTTTCAACCAAATGAAGTTTTAATTATGTAATTTTGTAACCCTTACCTCCCCTTCCTTTCTGGGTCTTCACTTTCAGCTATTACAGTATCTCACCTCCTGTTCTTCCATGGGTTGTAAAATAACATAGTAAAAGAAAGCCTTATACTATAGTTTTCTTTTCTCAATCCTCACACTGTGATTCAAAGAGGAACTGATAAATAAGGTTAGAGTTTCTGCCTTTTCTAATCCAGATTGGCATGGGAACAAAGTCCTTGGGCGTCAGAAAGTTATATCCGCCCAAAAGATAAATGTTTTACTAAAAGATATAGATCATACCTTCACAAGTCTGTTCTTGAAAAGAAAATAAACAACAGACACTCACATTACCACCATCTCTTTTTGCCTTTCAAGGCCAACAAAAGTTGTAGGTTACAAGAGTCTAGTCCCAATTTATGTAGTTAAATAATTGAGTTATATATATATCAGGCTAGAATATAAAGATAGAGGAGCTTTAAAGAAAAATCCATAATTAATTTATTGCTACTGCCATCAAGTAGCCTTCAAACAAGCATTAAATTATCTACACACAGTCTAACTTTGTTTAAAGTTCACTTTTTTTTTTTAGATTTGTTATTTGAGAGAGAAAGACCGCATGTGTGCGCATGGGATGAGGCAAAGGGAGAGAGGAAGAGAAGCACACTCCCCACTGAGCACAAAGCCCAAGCACATGGGGCCCACCTCATGACCCTGAGATCATGACCTGAGGCCAAAATGAGAGTTAAGTCACTCAACCAACTGAGCCACCCAGGCACCACTGAAGTTCACTTTTTTTTTTTAAGATTTTATTTATTTATTCATGAGAGACACAGAGAGAGAGGAGCAGAGACACAGCCTGAGGGAGGCTCCCTGCAGAGAGCCCAATGCAGGACTCCATCCCCCGACTCCAGGATCATGCCCTGAGCCAAAGGCAGACACCCAACCGCTGAGCCACCCAGGTGTCCCTGAAGTTCACCTTTTAAAGAGTTAATACATCTAGATATATTACATGTAAAGAAAAAGCTATTGTCAACAGAAATAGGAATCAGTGTTCTTCAAGATAGTTTAATAAGAAAATAAAAAAAAGATAAGTGTAATATAACAAGATTTGAACCAGCCATTTTTTGTTCTTTTCCTAATAATTGAATTCTTTGTTGCAGCAGAATTCTACTCATTTAAGAAAGCACTTTTAGACGTGTCTTACTATCTTTTTTCCTTAAGAGTTATACATTAGTCCTCTTTTCTTTTAAAAGAATAGCTGAGACTAATTTCTCTGGTGGAATAAAGATTTTTACTAAAAAAAAAAGTGTATGTGGGCAGCCCCGGTGGCTCAGTGGTTTAGTGCTGCCTTCAGCCCAGGGCATGATCCTAGAGATCCGGGATCGAGTCCCATTTTGGGCTCCCTGCATAGAGCCTGCTTCTCCCTCTGCCTGTGTCTCTGCCTCTCTCTCTCTCTCTCTCTCTCTCTCTCTCTCTCTGTGTGTGTGTGTGTGTGTCTCATGAATAAATAAATAAAATCTTAAAAAAAATAAAAAAAAGTGTATGCAGGAAACAACTGATATTAAAATGTTTTATACCTCATATTGTTGCTATGTGTCTATATGTTTTAACTTTATTAGATAATTGAGGTCAGGGATCACATTATACAGTTTGGTATCTTGTACAGAAAACACTGATATTCACTAGTGTGCACTAGAAAGTTAAGATATTAAGATATCTTAATATCTGTTAAGATACTGAGATACTATACTTACATGCTAATTGCAGAAGAACCCCTGTCCTGAGTGAGCCTCCCATGTAATCCCTGGGACATTGGCTTCCCTAGTTTCATTCTAACAACTCCCAGCAACTGAACATTCAATACGGACACATCAGACCCTCTTCTAGCCCTCCACTCCCATTTTGATGTAGCCAGTGCACATGCTGCCCTCATTATTTATTTTGAATGTAGCCCTTGCCTATAGTAATGTTTTTTAAATGAAGGATCATAACCCATTAGTTAGTTTTAAAATTAATTTGGTGGATCAAGACCAAAATTACATTAAAAATGAAAAAAAAATAGAACAGTACTAAAAAGGGAGGATGCTAAAAAGTGAATAGAAAATAGTGTATTATAAAAAAATAGTGTATCACATATAATAAGGGTATGATAAATATATATATTGCAAAAGTAGATATGAAATATGTATGTTTGTAGGGGTGTGTGTGTTATATAAAATGTATTTGTTGTGATTTAGACAAAGTTTGAAACGCATTCCCTTAGCTTTACATGCGGAGGAAAATGAATGAATGAACATCTGGATAAATGAACAAATTTGATCTTTATCATTTGGTAATGACAAAGGAAACATTGTTGGGTAAAATTTCTGTCTTACCTCCATACTCCTAGATGACATCTAAGCAGGACTATAGTAGTTATTGTATACTTTTAATTCAGTAAAACTTTATGGTATGTCAGACACATCAGTTTTCCAAGTACCAAGCAGAACTAGGTTGCAGAAGTATTTCTTCAATACTATTAAGATGACATTTGGATATCTGGTGAATCCTTAAGATAAATTGTGTCAAAATAAAAAGTAAAAGACAAACAGGCTTAAACAATAAAGGAAATATATTACCTTACATCATTGAAAAGATGAGTGGTAGCTCATGCTTGAGATATGATCTAATCAGGTCATAACTCTCCTGGGATGTCTGTGTTGCCTTCCTTTGCATGGGCTGAATTTTCAAACTGATTTCCCTCCTGGTACTAACAGTTTCAAGGTACCCTTCTATATTCTATCCATCCCAGCCTCAGTATCTCAGAATTTCCCCAAAAAAGGTCCCTAAACTGACACTGATTGGTATGTCTCAACTCACGTATTCAGCCATTCAGCCAGTGTGACCAGTATAGAAAATGAAAGTAGAATGTACTCAATGCATTAGCTTAAGTCAGTGCTTCACTCCTATAGCTAGAGATACAAAGGTCAATACTTCATTCCTAAAGCTAGGAATGAAACCACAAGGAGTCAATACATCAAAAGCCCTAATAGACATGAAGCAAAAACTGACAGAATTGAAATGAGAAATAGAAAATTCAACAATACTTCTTGGAGACTTCTTAATACTCTGCTTTCAGTAATGGTCATCTAGGACAACTGGAAAGAACGTCAACCAAAAAAAAAAAATAGGCTTGAACAACACTATAAAATAACTAGACCTAACAGACACCTATGGACACTGCACAACAATAGTGAATACACGTTTTATTCAAGTGCACATGGAGAATTCTCCAAGATAAACCATGTGCTAGGGCATAAAAAGGAAGTCTCAGCAAATTTAGAAGTGTTGAAATTATGTCAAATATGTTCTTCAAACATGGAATTAGACCAGAATCAAAAACAGAAGAAAATTTGGAAAATTCATTTATAGGTGGATATTAAGTGACACATACCCAAATAAATAATCAATAGTTCAAAGAAGAAATCTCAAGGAAAACTAGGAAATACTTTTTTTTTTTTTAAGATTTTATTACCTATTCATGAGAGACACACAGAGAGAGAGAGAGAAACAGAGACATAGGCAGAAGGAGAAGCAAGCTCCATGCAGGGAGCCTAGCCTGATGGGGGACTTGATCCCAAGACTCCAGGATCATGCTCTGGGCCAAAGGCAGGTACTAAACTGCTGAGCCACCCAGGGATCCCCTAGAAAATGCTTTTAGATAAATAAAAATGAAAATTTTTAGGGGATGCACAAAGCACTACTTAAAGACAAATGTGCAGCTGTATATAAATGCCAGTATTAAGAAAGATAATTTTAGGGCTTCTGGCTGGCTCAGTCCATTGAGTGTCTGCCTTTGGCTCAGGTCAAGATCCCAGGATCCTGTTCAGCAGGGAGCCTCTGCTCCCTCTCCTCCCTGTATGTGCTTTCTCACTATCTCTGTCACTATCTTTGTCTCTCTCAAAGTCTTTTAAAAAATTTTAAAACAATTAAAAAGATTATTTCAAATCAATAGGCTAACTTTTCATCTTTAAAAAACTGGAGAAAAGCAAACTAAACATTAAAGTAAATGGAAGGAAATAAGGAAGATTAGCATGGATATTAATGAAATAGAGAAGAGAAAAATAGAGAAAAACAATAAATCCAAAAATTGATTCTTTGAAAATAACCACAAAATTGACACATCTTTAGCTAGACTGGACAAGATGAAAATAAAAAAGTCAAGTAACTAAAATCTGAAATGAATGAGGTGACATCACGATCTACAGTAATTAAAAAAATATATAAAGGAATATTATAAGTAACTATATGCCTACAAATTAGATAATCTAAAGGAAATGAACAAATTCCTAGAACATACAAACTATTGAAACTCGAGAAAATCTGAATGGAATTATAACTAGTAAAAAGATTGAATTAGGAATTTGGACCCCATCCTTTTTCCTCCCTGGCCCCTGAAAAAAAAAAAAAAGACCAAAAAAGACTAAGAGTGCTAATGCACAGAGAAAAGGCCACATGGGAGAAAAAAAAAAAAAAAAAAGGAAAAGCAAGGAGGAATCCATCTGCAAGTCAGGAAGAGAAGTCCCACTAGACACTAATCCTGCTGGCACCTTATAATGGACTTCCAGCCTCAAGACTGTGAGAAAATAAATTTGTTTTTTAAGCCGCTCAGTCTGCCATATTTTGTTATGGAAGCTTTAAAAGACTAACACAGAAGTCTTCTCAACACTCATAACAACTCAATATACATCCCTTACACCACTTTTCAAAAGTGACTTCATGTTAAAAAAAATTACCTTAAAAAACTGTAGTTATTTGTATATGTCTTCTCTCCTCAAGGGTAATATTAGTTCCTAAAAACAGGAATCATGTCTTATAAATTTGTACTTTCCTCCTATAACACCTGAAACTGTGTTTATGTACTTTGCTATGTATTTGCAAAATGGATATGGATATTTGAAGCTGCAAAATGGATGAGTAGTTATTAATGTTAGGCAGAAGTATCACTATATTAATGTGTTTATTTGGAGAATAACATGGTTTAAGGACATATATATAGGTGCCAGATTGACAAGGGGTGTACTGTGGTGGTTAGTTTTTTTTTAAATGTCAACTTGGTTAGACTATAGTACCCAGTTATTCAATCAAATGCTAATCTAAATGTTGCTGTGATGCTGTTTTGTCGATGTTAACATCTACAATCAATTGACTTTTAAATAAAGAAGATTATCCTCAATATTCTTGGTAGGTCTCATCCAATCAGTTGAAAGGCCTTAAAAGCAAAACTGAGGTTTCCTTGAAGAAGAAGAAGAAGGAGAAGGAGAAGGAGAAGGAGAAGAAGAAGAAGGAGAAGAAGAAGAAGAAGGAGGATCCCTGGGTGGCGCAGCGGTTTAGCGCCTGCCTTTGGCCCAGGGCACGATCCTGGAGACCCGGGATCAAATCCCACGTCGGGCTCCCTGCATGGAGCCTGCTTCTCCCTCTGCCTGTGTCTCTGCCTCTCTCTCTCTGTGTGACTATCATGAATAAATAAATAAAATCTTTTAAAAAAAAAAAAGAAGAAGAAGAAGAAGAAATAATACATTGTTACTGCACTGACAACTTCTGCCCAAGAGTTAGCAGCCTGCCAACCTACCTACACATTTTGAACTGGCCACTCCACAAATGCATGAGACACTTTCTTGAAGTAAATCTCATAATATGCATAATCTACTGGGTCTGTTTCTCTGTAGAATCTTGACTATTAGAATTAACCTTTTAGTTATTTTACTTATAAATACTAGAATTTCTATGATTCTTTTTTGAAATGTCTCTTTATTGCAATTTTGTATTAAGTTATTGTCATCATTTTAATTCTTTATATATGCTTTCTTTAGTTCTTTGAATATATTTATAATAAATTTTTTGAAATCTTTGCTAAATCAAACATACAGAAACACTCAGATACAGTTTCACTTGATAAGTATGGGTCATATTTTTTTGTTTCTTTGTGTGTCTTTTTTTTTTTTTTTTAAGATTTTACTTATTTGAGTGAGAAAGAGAGCATGAGCAGGGGGAGGAGCAAAGGGACTCCCTGCTGAACTCATGACCTGAGCTGAAGGCAGACACTTAACAGACTGTTTCTTTGCATGTCTTATAGTTTTTTGTTCAGAACTGATTAGATTATATATTGGAAAAAGTCTGGATTCTGATTTTCCCCCTACAGCGTGTTCTTAGTTTGTTTGTACTTAGTCACGTACTTGCCTAGACTAAATCTGTGAATTCTATCTCCCATGTGATATATGGCCCCTGGGATCTGTTTTTAATTTTTATTCATTTTTTTAAAGCTTTTTTTTTTTTTAAAGTAATCTCTACACCTAATGTGGGACTTGAACTCATGACCCTGAGATCAAGAGTAACATGCTCTTCCAATTAAGCCAGCCAGGCGCCCATTTAATTTTTATTCTTTTTTTTAAAAATTTATTTATTTATGATAGAGAGAGAGAGAGAGAGGCAGAGACACAGGCAGAGGGAGAAGCAGGCTCCATGCACCGGGAGCCCGATATGGGATTCGATCCCGGGTCTCCAGGATTGCGCCGTGGGCCAAAGGCAGGCGCCAAACCACTGCGCCACCCAGGGATCCCTCTTGTTTTTATTTTTAAGCTTGTTCCTAGGGGTCGGCTCCATGTTTTAGTATTCAGTCAAAGGAAGATTGTGTTCAAACACCTCAAGCCAATAAGACCTTTACTTTCTAGTGGTGGGTCAGTGTGTGCATTGGGGAGTACATTCAATATTCAGACTGTTTTCATGTCTTACCTGTCTTTTACATTGTTCTAAGTCCTTCTGAGCCATCTTGCTCCTTGATTTTGCATGTGCTGTTGGCTCCACGGGCCCAGAATGTTTGCATGATTTAGGCCCACTTGTTTTTTGTCTTTGATACACACATTCACAGCATTTGGTCCATTCTGGGTATGTGGAGATCTCACCAAGCCCACAATGTCTATGTCAGCTCTGAGAAATTTCTGTTAAATCCCTGCCTACTCTGCAAATCCATTGCTTGCCCCAAACCGGCCCACAGTAGCAAGGAAGCAGAACCACCTGCCATCCATATTTGCTTGCCATTGAAATCACCAATTTAATTTATAATGCTTCTAAATCAATCAAGCCTCCTCTGGCCAAAGCAACAAGACTCTTGTTGATTTTCATATCCTGCCTCAGCCAAGTTGAACCTCTGGATCAACTGAACTGATATGGGGGCCTGATGGTAATCCCAGGCAGGAACAATTAGCCATGTTACTGTTCTCTGAAATTGAATGGTTTTCATAAATAAGCGCTTCTCAGCTTATAGTATGCCTCTTTCATTATTATTTCTAGAGTGCCAAGTTATTATTTTGAAAGGTTTGTTCAGCTTTCTACTTGCTTTTTGGAGAAAGGATGTGTCAACCTCCTCACTCCATCACGCTGAAATAAATCTTTTAATTATATTTCTCAAAAAATATCAAGAATTTCATCCAGAGCCTGAGAAGTAATGTAGTATCTAGTCCATGGTTAAATGATTCAGGATCCCAAGAGTTAACATTTTACATAAATGCAAGGATGCTTCTTAACTCATAGGGTATCAGGGTTTACTGCACTTTGTATATAGTATTCTATTTTAAAATACATTTTTATATCTAGTGTAGCTCCTATATTTTGGAGTTGTTTCAACTTTACTTCATAACTTATTTAACATCTTTTTCTTTTAATTTCAGAGTTCAGTTAAGTTCCTTATGTCCTCCCCTGAAATTGCTTCCCTATCATGGGGGCAAATGAAAGTACAAGGCTCTACTAAAACTTATAAGGACTGCAAAGTGTGGCCAGGGGGAAGTCGGGCTTGGGATTGGAGAGAAACAGGAACTGAGGTAAGCTATTAGTGTTTGGTTGACATTGCATAAGGATGACCAAGTGATTTCCAACCTCCTAAGCCATGAGCAAGTGAAAAGTAACTATTCCTCCTCCCCTTTTGGAGTTTAATGCACATACCATTAACTCACCATTTTAAACTATGCAATTCAAGGGTGGCTCAATTGGTTAGGTGTCTGCCTTCAGCTCAGATTATGATCCCATGGGGCTCCCTGCTCGGCAGGGAGTCTGCTTCTCCCTCCCCCTGTTCTTTTGTTCTCACTCTCTCTCTTTCCCTCTCAATTAAATAAAATATTTAAATTAAATAAATAATTAAATAAAGTATGCAATTCAGTGGACTTTTTATTGGCATAAATTTGTGCACTAACTACTAGTGCTAATTCCAGAATATACTTACCAACCCAAAAGGAACCTCATAACCAGTAGCAGTCACTCCCCTTTCTTCCCTCCCCCTAACTCCTGCAACTACTAATCTTCTTTTTTTAAGATTTTCTCTTTTTAAGTAATCTCTACACCCAACATGGGGCTCGAACTCACAACTGTGAGATCAAGAGTTGCACATTCCGGGGTGGGGGGGGGGTGGGGAAGAGTTGCACATTCTTCTGATGGAGCCAGCCAGGCTCTCCTAATCTACTTTCTGTTGTTACAGATGTGCTTATTCTAGACTTTTCATATGAATAGAATCATTCAGTTCTCTTAAGTATATACCTAGGATTGGAAATGCTAGTCATAGGACAACTTTATATTTAATCTTTTGAGGAACTTCCAAATTGTTTTCCAAAGCAAATATACTGTTTTACATTTTAGATTTTAGGAATTATGAAAGTTACAATTTTTCTAAACCTCTCCTCACAGTATTGATTTGTTTTGTTTTTATTATATCATCTTGGTGGGTGTGAATTGTTATCTCATTGTGGTTTGAACTGCATTTCCCTTACATTATACTTTTTCCAGGATTCTCATTGTGCCATGCCCAAGGTAGAGGTTAGGTGAAAGAAGAGAACCCATACCACTTGACTACATTCACTTAGGACTTAGTCTCAGCAGCAGACAGCTGGGGGCAGGATGAGAAACACTTGAATCCTGTTTCTCCCAGGAACAAAGCTTTCCAGCTGGCAGCAGAAAAGGGAAATAGTTCTGTGTTCTTGGCTGCACCATTCTGGAGTGGAGTCTCCACCTCACTAAGCTGGGAGCAGGAATAGGGGGTGGCAGGTAGCAGTCTTCCTGAAAAATCTGATACCTTTCCTACCAAATATTTATAGATTTTCCTAAAGAGATGTTTTTTCATTTGCTGTTTATTCTTAGGATGATTTCCAAAGGCTTTGAGTGGTTTTCTCTTTTCCATTTTTTTTTTTATTGGGGAGGGTTTTTTTAATTTTCACTTTGAGGCATCTGGGTGGCTCAGCATCTGCCTTTGGCTCAAGTCATGATCCCGGGTTCCTGTAATCCAGTCCCACATTGGGCTCCCTGCTCAGTGGGGAGTCTGCTTCTCCCTCTGTCCCTCCTCTCCTACCGTCATGCTCTCTCTCTTTCTCAAATAAATAAATAAAATCTTCAAAAAATAATAGTAATAATTTTCATTTTGGAGAAGGTAATGGAGCTCTTCATGCTATAATGATGGAAGTTGATCCTTCAGTTTTGAAAGATAATTTTGCTTAGTACATAATTCTTGATTAAAAGTCTTTTTCTGGGCATTTGGTGGAATGAGCACTGGGTGTTATACTATATGTTGGCAAATTGAATTTAAATAAAATTAAAAAAAAAGATCTGCTAAAATAAAAAAAAATTTAAATAAGTCTTTTTCTTGGGGTGCCTGGGTGGCTCAGTTGGTTAATCGTCTACCTTCAACTCAGGTTATGATCCCTAGATCCTGGGATCGAGCCCTAACTCAGGCTCTCTGCTCAGCAGGGAGCCTGCTTCTCCCACTCCCTCTGCCTGCCGCTTCACCTGCTTGCTTTCTCGCTTTCTCTCTCTCTCTCTCTCTCTCTCTCTCTCTCATATTCTCTGTCAAATAAGTAAAATCTTTTTTTAAAAATTAAAAAAAAATAAAAGTCTTTTTCTTTAAGCACTTTGAATATGTCATCTCACTTTTTTGGCTTCATTGGTTACTAATGAGAAGCCAACTGTTAAAGGTTCCTTAGACTTGACAAGTCATTTCTCTCCTACTGCTTTCAAAATTCTTTGTCTTTTGCTTTTGACAGTTTCACTGTGATGTGTCTACATATGAATCACTTTGAATTTATCCTACCTGGAATATATTGAACTTTGTGGGTGTGTACATTGTTTTTCATCAAATTTGGGGAATTTTCAACTATTCTTCAAATATCCTTTCTGCTTCTTCTGTCTCTCCTCTCCTGTAATACCCATTATGAGTATATTGTTATTTTAAATATAACAGGTGTCTGAGGCTTCGTTCATTTTCTTCATTCTTTTTCCCTTTTTCTCAAATTGGATAATCTCAATTCATGTATTTTTCAGTTTTGCTGATTCTAACCCACTATTGAGCCTTTTTAGTGAAATTTTCACTTTGGTCATTATACTTTTCAACTCCAGCATTTCTATTTTGTGTTTAAAAATAATTTCTATCTCTTTATTGATATTCTCTATTTTTTAAGGTATTGTCCTCATACTTTCCTCTAGTTCTATGAATACAGTTTCCTGAAATATGACTAGACAGATTTTTCTTTATATCCCTGGAACCAGTAGGTTTTCCAGTGTTTGCCAAGGGGCTTTGAATGTAATTTGGGGTATGTAGTCAATAGTCAGCCAGGCAGTTTAAAATTTCTTGCTTATGCAGGGTCTCAAGGTTAGCCAGAGTGGTGAGCTTAGGGCCTTCTTGTGTCATTCCTGAACATGTGCACAGCCTTGGACATGTGTATTGTCATTTCAATACCAACATTCATATCAGAGCTTTTCAAAGCCTGGACATCTCATTTCATAGTTTTCCCTTTTAAGTCTTTTGGTTGACCTCGTTTGTCCTAATGTCTAACACACCAGGCATTGTTAAACATTTGTCTCTGACAGTTTTGGAGAAACTTCTTTGAGGGGAAAAAGAGGTTTACGCTGGCAAACTCTTAAGTCAGATCAAATAAAGACAGCCTATGAGTGGGGTTGTCCAGAGAACCATCAGACAGGTCAAATATAGGCTGGTAGTTTTCACTGTGATTGTGGGTCCTTGCTTTTCAAGACTACAACGGAACTGGGGATGGAGTAGATTGGAATAGGGGAAGTTAAAATTGCACAAAGCTCATTTTTCAGGAATCCTTTTTAAAAAAATTTTTAAATACACCCTGAATTGCTGTAAATCTTTGGTTATTCTTTTTTTAATTTTTTTTTTTATGATAGCCACACAGGGAGAGAGAGAGAGGCAGAGACACAGTTTCTGCCATTATTCTTATTGCTTTTATGAAGAAGAGGATTTTCAGAGGTTCTTCACAACATTTTCTCTGATATCACTTAGAAATAACTTTTGGATTCATACTTATGCAATGGTATACTGGACCAATGGTATATTGCTTTCACTGGCTTGTGAGAATTGATTTTTATTTATTTATTTATTTATTTATTTTTATTTATTTTTATTTTTTATTTTTTTGAGAATTGATTTTTAATTCTTTTTTTTTTATTTTTAATTCTTGAGGAATTTTGTAAGCCAGTTTTTGGACACAGCCCTTATCAAAAACTAAACTATATAAACTTACTTAAATAAATCATTTAAGATATAGGTAATATATATTTAAAATTCATTATTCCTAATTATTTCACTACATTCTATGCTCTTGAAATATTTATATCCGCTGTTATCTGGTGAAAATACTAGATATGTGCTACTGTACATCTCTTATTAACTCTGCATTCAGTGATGTTACATTTGGTATCTTAAATATGGTGAGATTGTTTACATCACAAAAATTGTAGAACACTACATATTGGGGCTACTTTTTTTTGTCTTTGTAACTTTATGGCTTTAAAAAATTATGGCTTTAAAAATTTTATTATTAAACATAATAAGTTTAATTCATTGCAAATTATAAAGAATAATAGATCTGTATTCCAACTTTAAAAATAAAATCTTTGAAGTTTGATCTCTTTTTCTCCACCCTTATCAGTATCCTGAATTTCCTTATATTTTTCAAATATCTATCTGTATCTACAGCCCATATTTTGTATTGTTCTTCATGCTCAAATTTTTATATTAATGGTATCATCTGTTGTCCACTTTTTTATGTTGTATTGAGATTTTATTCCACTTTTGTCTCTTTTTTGGGAAGCTGTACATTTTATTTCTATTTGCTTAGTGGTTATCTTTAAAGTTGTACTATATTAGGTTGAACCATAAGAGACTGACAATATTTTATAAGTAAAGAGTTAAATTTAGGAATTTCATGTACTTCATCCTAATAAAATCTTAAAGTCTAAAATTAATTATCTTTACCTCAGTACACTTTCCTCTCATCAGTTCCCTTCCATCTTACACGTTATTGTTATCCAATAAATTAGTTCCTTTAAAAGTAGATTATTTTCTGGGCAGCCCAGGTGGCTCAGCGGTTCAGCACCACCTTCAGCCCAAGGTGTGATCTTGGAGACCCCGGATCGAGTCCCACATCAGGCTCCCTGCATGGAGCCTGCTTCTCCCTCTGCCTGTGTCTCTGCCCCTCTCTCTCCCTATGTCTCTCATGAATAAATAAACAAAACTAAAAAAAAAAAAAAAGAAAGAAAAGTAGATATTTTCTTATTGTACTATTTATTTCATTAAGATACTTTGTTTTTTAATCATTACAACCAATGTTAGCTTATATTTACCCACATATATACAATTTCCTTATCATTTCTTCTTTCAATTTGGATCAATCATGGATCAATTTTTTTCTTTTCTTTTTTAATTGATATCCTTGCAAGTTCCTTTAGTGAGGATCTGTTGATAAACTCTGTAAAGTTTCAGAGTTTGTTTGTCTGAAAAGATTCTCACTGATTTTTATTTTTATTTTTTTAAGATTTT